GTGTTATATTTGTCGATTGATAGACACTTTCCCCATGAAAAATCCAATTTGAGTAATTCCTCATAATTCCATAATGAAGCAAGTGTGTGTTTACTTCATCTGGACTCAAAAGCTTGTTATTAACACACTTCGTGCATGGACATCTAAGTTTACCCTCAAAAGTCAAACTCCTAATAGCATATCTCATAAAACCCTCAACCCCTACTCGGTATTCTGTCGTTCTCAATGATGAAGCTAAAGAATTCTTGATTGATTCCAAATCCATGATCAATCAAACAAGAAAGAAACCTAAATAAAATAATTTAGAACCAAATTTACACAGAGAAACATACAATTATAGTTACAATATGAAACTGATTAAGAACATAAGAATAAAAATAAAATTCAAATAAAAATATAATGGCTTCCATATGGTCAAAGGAAACTAGAATGCAACAAAATGGCTTTGGCTTTTCATTTAGTCTAGCTAGCATTTTTGTTTTGATATTGGGTGTTGTATTTACAGTTTTAGGATCTATTCTTTTACAATCTGAGTTGTTTTTTATTAAGCAAGAACGGTACACTGAATCTGATTTATCTGCCATAAAATAAGCTATTAAGTAAAAGTTTTCATTCAAACTTAATTCTGATCTTTATTTGGTAGTATATTGTAGTATCCTACCAAAGCTAATAACTACAAAAGTATATTTAGAAAGTACTTAAAAGCTATTAAGTAGTATACTGTAATTAATAACAACTGAAAACCATTAATAACATCCATGTAACCATATTGAGACAAGCTAAGGGTCAAAGTAAATAAAAATACTTCCTATACAACTACTGCAGCTAATATTTTCCTGTTATTTTTTATAGGTTCTAAACAACCAAATGACAAAAACTAATGACCCCAAAGTCATTGATGAACTGAAGAATCGTATAGCTTGGATGTAAGAGCTAATTCTGATGCATTTGCATTTTATTAATTACAGTGTACTACTTAATAGCTTTTAAGAGCTAAATCTGCTTCAACAAAGAATAGTGAAAAACAAATTATATCAACACTAGAAAAAACAGAGAGGTTTCAGAAAAGGGGAGCAACCATACTATCTTCAATCTAAGAGCTGAATAATTGAAAATTTGTCCTAGACCACCATGGACCTATTTTCCGCAATCACTAGACTAACAGTAGTGGAATTGTTAGGAACTTCAAGTAATCAATCATTAAACCGAGAGGATACACCAATTTGATCAGAAATTACAGATTGTTTATCTAAATTAAAGAGGCGAATCAACTCACGTACTTGCTCCCAGGAGAACTCTTTACGGATAGCTGATTTGCGAGGATCTGGAGAACTCTTTAATGAGAGTTGAGAGGCTTCAACGGCATGATCGATGCTGAGACTACGTCCGCGATGCGAGATGTTACGCTAGATCGTTCTGGTGCTGAAATGAAGATGAGAGATCTCTTTTAGGATGAATGACTAGGGATTTCCCTTTTTGTTGGAAGAATGAAGCTGCCGTTTCAATATGACGTGATACATACAAAGTCAATTTATTTTTTAAAAATAATGAGAACAGTGCTGATTTAGACCGTCAGCCGCACTTTTTTGTTTGAAAGCACTTTTACTTGAAGTTAAAATGCTTCCATCAATATGTTACGTAGAAATAATGTATAACAATGAGAGTTATGATACATTAATCATTTAGGTGGTCAACTGCAAATTTTTCATTTTAAATAAAATACTAATCGCTTTATAAATAATAACGTAGTTAGTAAAAAGTATTTTATTTAGTTCAATGATGACAAGATACTAAAATTAAATGCTTCAATGTTAGGAGCGCACATTAGGGACGCTTTGGATAAGCGTGTCTTATGTAAGAAAATATATACAATGTTAGCACTTTTCAAAAATGCGCCGCTATTTAAGCGCCTCAAAAAACTGTTTTCCTAGTAGTGATGCCTCTATGAAGCAAGCAGTGATTCCCTTGTAGTTCACATCCAACTACTCTTTGAATGATTGGAGTCGACGAATGTCCAATTATTATTGATCCAACTATTATGATGTGATCCTTTCAAAAAAAACTATTATGATGTGATATTTTAAAAGACTTGTATTTGCAACCACAATTAGAAAGTTTATATATCGTACTATGGTAGTTAATATTTGACGGATTTTTATATTAAGCAAAACAAGTGTTATGTACTTCATTAAATAAAATAGAGGCTATTATAACTCCAAGTGGCGTATTTTTTTTAGGTTATATAGCATATTCCCTCTTTTCTTAATTAATACTATCGTATTTATTTTCTAAAAAATATGTGATAATGTTAGTGTACGTAAACTTGCCCCCACTAAACAAAATTTCTGAATACGCCAATGACTATATTCGCACATTTTATGATGATCGATCAGAAGTCCGCAAGTAGAATGATCAGCACAATGGAATAAAATACTCCGTATTAAGTTAATTAAAAGCTCCACTCCTCCAAATTGAAGTATCCCCACTAGCAGGATTATTAAGCCAAACATATCCTATCTCGAATAGAACGATGATGCTTTCTTTTCTTTTAAAATTAAAACAGACTACATGACCGAAGAGGGCACAAAGGCACCAATTATGCGTTCATTAGAAGAGATTATATAATTTATATTTAGCCCCTTTTTCCCAATACGACTCGGATATCATTTCCTCATTTACTGCCATGATGATGGATACCTGCACGGATTCTATGGTACCCATAAGGTATCATACTTTTGACCACATGGACCAATAGGAATGATACAGTTGAGTTAATTAAATCCAAATTAAAAATGATATAATGATGTGGACCAATCAAGTGAATGGAAGGGATGGTACCCCATATTTTAAATGGGTACCGGAGTTGTCACCCACTTGCATCAGGGTGAGGATTTGGAGGAAATTCAAACTGTTAATGTTATTCATCAAATCATTTCAATACGAACAAATGACTACATGGTTGTTATTTTGTAACACGTGTAATCTAGAATTTATGTACCACCTATTTTTATTATATTTTGTAAGAAAATCAATTTTTTTTGGTAAACTAGAAAAAAAATCTTATTTTGGTGCCTATTCCATGTACTACGTAACATATAATTTGTGTGTCAAGCTCTTCATGTCATGACTATATATATACTTCTTATATATACTTCGTATAGAGCCGGCTATATGGGGAGTTGGCAAAGACAGCTGCCTAGGGCCTCATCTTTTAAAAACTTTCTACGTAGTAATCAGTTAATCACGAAGCATATTGGGTTCTTCTAATTGGTGAATTCGTTGGATGCAAAGAACGGTACGGTGATAATCTGGTACCCCCAATTCCGAAAAGTAAACATGGAAAGAGGACAGATCCATCATCCATTATATATATCTTATAAGTTGTTGCCTTGCCTTGCTGTTATTATTGTTTATGGGCATTATGGCTTTTAATTTCTTGTTGTTAGAATGTTTTTTTTGGATTGGTTTTAGTCCCATCCCAGACCAACACATGGGACCAGACCAGACCAGATTAGCAGACTTTCTTAGTTATAAAATACATAGAGACCAGACATTTACCAGATCAAACAACACCAGTTCAGACCAAATCAAACCACACTAGCAAATTTCGGCCCAAAAGAAAATATCCTTACTTCAAAGTTTGTAACAATGTGTTAAGTAGTACTCCGTATAAGATGTATAAAATTGTCTCTATTTTAAAAAAATAGTACATACTCAAACAGTTTAATTTGTAAAATTATAAGTAGGTGTTTTACTTAATTTGATCTTTAAAAGGTCATTTATTTTGCTTGTGATTTTTCTAATTTCATCCTTTTCGTTATTGTTTTATTTGTGAATTTATTAAAAAATATATAGGTCTTGTTACGACTAATACACGAAAATTTATGTTTGTACATGCAAAAGAGAATATTAAATACTCTTTACATATGTAGGGATTTGATTATAAAATCGCTTGACCGATCTATGAATTGATACTTCAAAATAGATTTTGATAGGCTCAATACTTAGTGTTTTTTGTCTAGGGCCTCTACTATCCTCAAGCCGGCCCTGACTTCGTATATGCTAACTATGGAACAACTATATATATATACTTCTTATTTGAATTACTTTATGCATACGTGGACAGATAATACTATTGTATTATGTTAACTAATTTATTTGCAACTTAGTCTCTACGTATTATTTGAGTGTTAAAGAAATCAATCTCAATTGAATTATATAGTTCATTATTACATCAGTACTCCGTGATACTACTCACAGCTCACTACAAAAAACGATTTTATCAAGGATTTGATCAAAGATAACTCCGCAAAAAATTCTTGACAAACGCTTTTGCAAAGGATTTTGTAAAGGATTTTATGCTTGACTTCACGTTCGTGACAACAATTTTGTCAAGGTTTCTGAATCATTGACAAAGTTTATCAAGGAACCGTCATAGGATTTATCCTTTACAAGCACAACGCTGGAAGAATCGATGAGAGCCGGAGCATTTGTCATTCATAAAATATTCGTGACAAAAAAAAAAATATTCGTGACAAATATGATATTTCAAATTTGTAACAAATGCGATCCTTGACATCACTTTGACGAAAAATTGAACGACTATTTCTGTCAGGGGCATTTAATTTCCTTGAAAACGTTTTACGTAAAATAGAATATTTATTTGGCAGAGATTGGGTTCGTGATAAATATTTTTTTTATGGGAAACTTTCATATAGATTAATTCAAACAATCATTAGAAAAGTGGCTTACAAGGCAATCGGGCACCGTAGTATAGGTGTCCTTACAACCTGGCAAGAAAACAGCCGCTCTAGCTAGATAATGAGCAACACGATTCGCAGATCGTCTACAAAAATTAACACTAAAGTTTATGTTTGTGTTTAAAATTTACTGAATATCATCAAGAATAATATCACAATAAGACAAACCCAACTTTCCTTGAATGCCGGTCACTACTAATAAGGCATCAGTCTCGATAGTCGTTTGTGTCCAACCATTTTCCTTCGCCCAAACCAATGCCTCTCTTACCCCCACTGCCTCCGTTAATATATAATGGTGACCACTCCGCTTTTACAGCTTCTCTTCGCCACTGCAATCGCATCGCCCAAATCATCAAGGAAGACCCACTACTTCACTGCCAACACTTCCCCAAACGAAGAACCGAGCCCCCATGCCCAGTCCTGCGGAGAACGAGACCAAACGGCATATTCTCAAACGCGACTGGAACCAACAGGGAGACGACTCTGAGAATCCTGCTACCGGCGAATTTCCTCGGCCAGATGTTCAGCTTGGGGTTCAACGGGAGAGAAGGCCGCCTCCACGACTTGGCAATTCTACATGCAAATCCCGGCCTACACCACCTCGTTCTGACGGAGATGATCGACACCTTGAGCTGCCTCCACGTCCTCGGAATAACAGGGATAATGAAGTGCGCGACCGGCAGCTTCCACGACACCATGAAGACGGCGTCCAATCCCATGTTGTTCATGCACATGGGGAGGTTGACCAGCGGAGCCTTGGGACGCTAATGCAACCTCCTCGGTCTCGAACAATTCCGGGTGGTATTGTTGATGGACCCGACCCGGAATGGGTACATGGGGAGGTTGACTAGCGGGACCTTGAGACGTTAACGCAACCTCCTCGGTCTCGGACAATTCTGGGTGGTATTGTCGATGGACCCATTTCGGGACGGGCACATGGGGAGGTTGACCAGCGGAACCTTGGGATGCTAATGCAACCTCCTCAGTCTCAGACCAGCTCAGGTGGTAATGTTGATAAGCCTACTACTAAGGACGTACGAGCTGCACACGTGCCTGAGAATACCGCGCTCAGAGCTGGGGTTGGGCCCACGCATGCTGGAGAGTCCTCACAGATGCCACGCAGTGCCACACATGCACAACATCAACCCGGAGATGGCATTGCACGAACTCGGGTGGGAGATGAAGGAAAGCCGTTCGGAATCGACAAAGAGATGATAATCACCAAAACAGTCCAGGAGCCTTTTGATGATAACACTGACAGCAGTTCTTCTAGGCAGCGACTTGTCACATCATCCGTGTCGAGCGGACCTCCCATGCAGATCACTATTTCCAAGGGGCGTCTTCGTTTCCCCCCAAATGGTCCCCCTGAGAGAAGTGTGCTGCCGGCCATTCCCATCCAAGTAGAGGAGATCTCTGAATTAGACGAGGATAGTGCATCCCAGTCAGAGGAAGGATCTTCGGAGTCAGGTAGCGCTGAGGATCCAAACTCTTTGAAAGTTAGATGTTTTCACTCTACCAGCTAGCATAGCAGAAGACCTGAAGTTGTCGTTGTGTTTGGTTGGTCCTAACTGCACCCTTGTACTTCCGGACGAAGACGATGATCTAGGTGATCCTCCTTCGAAACTGTTTTTTGGTGTTCATATTGCGTCTCTAGAGCGAGGTATGCAAGTGCCTCTTCATCCTCTCCTGGTGGCACTCCTTGGGTATCTCAATATATCACCGAGCCAGATGGCCCCGTCTGCTCATATCCTTATTGCCGCCTTCATCGCCCAATGTGAGCACGCGTCCGTTCAGCAATTCGTGCCTTTGTTTCACCATTGCTTCCGCTGGAACCGTCATAGCCGCAAACTGGATGACGGTGGATTTTTGTCGATCTTCCAACCACGTACTCACAAATTGTTCGCCCAATATCATGATAATATAAGGAAGAGGCAGAGTAGATGGTTATGGGCGTCCGGTCCTCCTGCGTCTTCCATCACGTTCACCTGGGGAAGATTGGTGTGCAAACACGGATCTGTTTCCCTCACTCCCGACTCGAGAAGGAAGTTGACATTTTATTCCAAGGAAGCCCTTACCCTATCGCCCAGTATTTAGGTAGGTTTCTTGTTTCTAAAATTCGTCTTGTCATTTGTTATGTTTTCTCACACCGTTTATTCCTTGCAGACACGGTATGCGGGAGGGGCGCCCCGGTTGCCGTGCAGGACGCTACCTCCCATCCCATGGAATCCAACGCGGGCTCATCTGACGTTGGGGACAAGCGTATGGCTTCCTCGTCTTCCGAAGAGCTGGTTGCAAAAAAAGGGAAATGTGCAAGCTGCTCTCTAGGTGGGAAAGGGGAGACAGGTCGACCAGTATGACCCCATCTCACCCTATTTGTTTTCTTGCAGGTATGCTAGGTAAGACCCAAACATTTCCCCCCCTGGTCGCGGTGCAGGATGCTATGCCCCAGCCTTCGCCGTTTGGTGAAAATGCGGGTTGGTTCGACGTAGGCATGTCTGAGGCAGCTGTCGGGGAAAAGCGCGGAGCTTCCCCGTCTCACGTAGGTCAGGTTGCCAAGAAGAAAGGTGTGAATTTTCTCCTTCATTCGGGAATGGAGTAATAATCTAGCTGTTACGAGGTCTTAACCCATTTATTTTCTTGTATATGTCGTAGGTAGGAGGGGCTCACTCGCTGCCTTGGCCGCAAAGGAAGATGCCATGCCTCGGCCCTCGAAGTCTAATGTCATTCCGTCTTTTACAGGGGAGAGGTGTAGAGCTTCCCTTGTCAACCATCCAGTTTCCGCTTCCATCATTCCCTCGTCTTCAGATGTGGCGAGGGCAGCGAGCATCGTTCCGTCCTTGATTTCCGGGAATCGCGATTATTTGATATCTTCCAATCTATTTAACTTGGTGGCACGTTCTATCCAATCTCACACAGAGGTAGGTTGATTCCTCGTCTTTCACGTGTTGTCTTACTTCTCTATCGCTAATCTCATGTTTCCTGTAGGGGCTGATGGATTTAACTACCGCGTTTCAAGCGTTAGATCGCCAGCGCGAAGAGCTCCAGTACCAGGTTCAGCGTCGGGCAGAGGCTGCCTTGGCTGAGCTCCAGTCAAAGTATGACCTGCTTCAATCAAAATATGATCAACTGGAGGCATCGTCCATAGACGCGGGGCGTCAGGCGGTTGCGGCGTTCCAAGCTTCCCCAGAGTTTCTAGAGATTGTCACTTCTAGGATGGAAGCTCAACGTTCGGAACAGGTTCGAACATGGATGGAAACCAAGGAGGGTCGGCTTTGGCGAGATAAGGAGGTTCTCATTTCCTTCAGGTGTGGCCGGTATGACATGCAGAAGACACTTTATGACAGGCTGGCCGAGCTTTATTCCGACTTTCATCCCGTGAAGTTCGGTTTGCCCGAGATCATGCCAGATCCTGACGAGGAAGAGGAGCAAGAGAACGATTTGTCCCTTCTGCACTTGGATATTCCAGATGACCTGGAGGGTTTGGCACACGCCTTTGATTTTGAGACCGTCCTAGATAATGTTCCCGAGAACATGCCGGATCCCTAGATCGTAGATTGTGACTTCTTCTCCTTGTTTTTTTATTCATTTACTTATCTATTTACATCCTGCACTTCTGTTTTGCTTCGCAAATATACAACTCTGTTGGCAGGCCCTTCATAGGCTGTTTTGTCACGTAATCTCATATCTATGTCCTGGTTCATTTTCCTCGTTCATGTAATTATTTCTCATCCGAGACCACTTGGGGAACTAATTAGGGATCTGGCTCCCCGCCTAAGCCATGAGAGGCGGAAAGTCGGCAGGGCCAACCTTGACCGCGCCCTGCTTGGTAAGGCGGGGCTGACCTTTTCAAGGAGTTCATTCTGCTGCACTTTTTATAATAGTGTAAGGAAATAGTTATTACTTTTGAATTATTTTTAAAAATGGCATGTTACATGAATTAAATATAAAAACGAAATCTCAACAAAACACAGAAATCCATCATTAACCACATGAAGAATTTAGAAAATTAATTAGCAAATTCAGAGAAATAAGAAAAGCTAATTGAAGTACATACCTTATATTCTGGAGTAAAATAGTAATTCTTTATTAACCATCCCCAATCTTCTTTAGTTACACCAGTTGGAACCTTTTTCAATGCTTCAAGCGGTGTCCTGTTTTTCACATATGTAAAATGCATCCATCATCTCCATTTGTTCCATAACTCCCGCATGTGTGAAAGAACATGATCTCGGCGATCCAAAAGATCAAAACCCTCAAATACTTCCTGAATTAAATAATTTTAAATTGGAATTAAACCCAACATTTTGTGGTGCCCAAAATCCAAGCATACTTAGAAATTACAATTCAGTACACACATCATAAACAAATGAATTCATATTCATACCGTTACGGCATCCCACATGTGTTTTTCTTGTCTTCATCGATATTTGCCCATTCAGTCACCGTTAATGGACAAATTTGACAATTGCGAATTATATTTCCTAAATGCCTCAAAAATGATTTATGATTTTCGCCAGCAACACGATTGTCATAAAATCTGACTTTAAGTTTCTCCCCCCTTTTCAAATTGGCCACTTCTTTACATTTATTTATTCTTCTTACCTTCTTCGTTTTATTTTTGCCAAGTGAACCTGTAAACAAATATTACATGCGCGCGCGCACACACACATATATATCATATGAGGATAACAACAAACTATAATAACAAGATATCATTGTTTTAGGTCATTACCTTTAGCCTTTTCGTTAGACAATAATGTATAGTATTATGCATAACATGAGCTTCTTTTGGCATATCATTAGGTTGATTCAATGATTGATTAACTGTTATGGTTAAGACAAAAAAGTGAAAAAAAAGGCTAAAGGGTCAAATAGGTACATGAACTAACTTAAAATGTTCAATTAGCCCCTTATATAGGAGGTTCTGCCCGGCCGTCGCCAATTGGGGCGTTTCCCGGTGGAATTTTTTGATGAATTTTTTTGAGCATCTTCTTCATTAAGTCTAGTTTATCCATACCAAATTTCAGCTAAAAATTCAACCGGGAAGGAAGTCAAATGATTTTTTGAAGATAACTGCGCAGGTAAACAACGTAGTACATTTTGGAAAATCATTTGACTTCCTTCCCGATTTAATTTTTAGCTGAAATTTGATATGAGTAAACTAGACTTAATGAAGAAGATGCTCAAAAATTTTGATTAAAAAATTCCACCGGGAACCGCCCCAATTGGCGACGGCCGGGCAGAACCTCCTATATAAGGGACTAATTGAACACTTTAAGTTAATTTATGTACCTATTTGACCCTTTAGCCAAAAAAAAAACTTAAAAGAAAGACATAATAAACAAAATTGACATTTGCAAAATAAAAATTAGTATTACTAAGCTCAGTGTTATGTTGTGGCAACTTATAAGATAAAGGTTGAGCTGTGTCATCCTTGTATAGATTGATTTTAAGTTTTGAATAAAATCTTCTATCACTACAACAAAATAAATTAAGGGAAATGGTGCTAAATAAGATCTTAACTTTCTCTATCTACTTTAATAAGACCTGACTTTTTTAACTTCTAAATAGAACTTATTTTTTGCGCGTTTCCAAAATTGACCTTGTTTTATCTCTCGGCAACAACCTGTTCCTTTCATGCAACAATCTCGCCAAACCCCCTCTCTCTCCTCCATAGCTAAGCAAGGCAGAGAAGATGCGGCGGTGCGGTGGGAGGCCTTGCTGTGTTCTCTCTTTTCCTCTCCTCCTCCTCCTTCTCTTTCTCCTCCTCTTCTACTCCCTATTTTGCCCTTCCAATGAATACCCTGTTTAATCTCTTTCCTCCGTCTGGATTGCTTCCGCCATTTGCTCTCGCCCTTTCACAGAAATTCGATTTTTCTTTCCTCAGATCTATGCGCAGTGGAGAGTTGGGAAGGGCGGTGGCGGCGAAGTTACAGGAGCAACGACGACACACTTGAAAGGAGAAGGTAGCCCAACAAATTGTTTCTTCACCTGGATTGAATGGCGTGAAATAGCTGACGATGAGACAGGGTGCAGCAGAGGTAGCTCTGCCAGGCCCTCCTCTCTTTTCTCCCGTCTCCGATCTGTTCCTCTCTTGAGGTAGTGATGTACGTATATGCTAATTTCATATTCTGCTTTAGTAACTTCTTTCTTCTTCTTTTTGCAAAAAACAAAATTCTTCTTTTTTGTAAAATTGTTTTTATGTTGTAAATTTTTCAATATTTTGTGTTGTTTAATTTTTCTATCATTTTTAAAATTATTACGAAGTATTTCTTCTAATTACATTTTTTTTGTTCAATTTTTTTATCATTTGCAAACTATGACATTGTATATTACATTGTCATAATATGACATTGTATATTACGTTGTCATACTATACATTGTATATTACATTGGCGTACGATGTATATTACGTTGTCATACTATACATTGTATATTACATTGGCGTACGATGTATATTACGTTGTCATACTATACATTGTATATTACATTGGCGTACGATGACATTGTATGTTACATTGTTGTATGATGAGTCCATGACATTGTACGAAGTATATTACATTGTCAAACGATGACATTGTATATTGCATTGTCATACGATGACATTGTTTATTAAAATTTAATAGGACGACATTGTATATTACATTTTTGTACGATGACATTGTAATATACGTAGTATTGTTAAAAATGTGTTTTTGTTTAAAAATAATATCTGCTTTTTAGTGTTTCCATTATTTTAACAATGTGATTTTTATATTATTGACATTGTCACCACATTGTCACTGACATTGACATTGTCATTATTATAACATTAACATTTTTATTGTCACGGCATTGTAACTTAATGACACTGTATAATAAATTACATATTACTTTATTATAGGAGGTCTTGTGCCAGAGGTCCTCGAGGCTTTCTTGACAATGTAGATCTTCGAAGGACGGGAAGACTTCACCGGCAAACTAAAACAGATTATTGACGGAGCTCGTTAGGAGACTGGTGGGAAGTTGTCGTTGTGGCATTGTTTGTTTTGAAGATGCAATGACACTGTTGACATTGTGACTTTTTTAACAATGTAATATTTTTTTTGACAATGTGACATTTTCTCTACATTTGTCAATATATTTACCATTGACATTATTTTAACATTGTTACATTTTTTACAGTGTTGGTAGTAATATCGTTTTTGAGAGTGACAATGTTACTATTTAATGTTAAAGACTTTTTTTATCAGTTTTTTGAATTTTTATAAGCATGCAAACAAATGTCATCATAATCATCAAGCCACTTTAACGAGTTGTGGAATACACACACACAAAATCATAATCATTAAACTTTGTATTTAATTCAATTATTACGGAGCGATTAACACTATTTCAATATTCCATTTATTCCCGCTTATACACTTTTATACAAGCCTTGCGCTATCGACTTGGTAACATCCGCTCCATTCCATAATCACACCGACTTGGAAATTAGATCTTTATCTCCCCCATGTATTCCTTAATTAGTTCTTATCGGGCTTCATCTGTGATGCTCTATCTGGTAGATGGCCCGATGTTTGCTTCAATGATAGTTTGATTTTCTATTAGGGTTTTTATGCACTTCCGTTATGGCCTATGGGTAGTTTCATATTCAATTTTTTTACAGAAAAAATTACCGTGAATTTATAAGTTCGGTTTATAGCTTCCTAATTCGATCAGGTTTATAACTAAGAGTGCAATCACAATTTTTGTTCTTTTGTGTTTCATAGGAGGGTTTTGGTATTCTAGTTTTAAATCATACATATCATAATCATGTGAACTGTTATACGGAGCATGTTCTAATTTAATCATTTTTATTTGTAGAAACCACGCCTATATATCAAAAGTACTATGAAGAAAGGTTTAGTCAATTTGAATTAGTTGGTCAACCTATAAAGTTGCTGCTGCAAAACCGTGGTTGTGAAACACCTCGTATGTGAATGGTTTTATTGCATCCAAGTCATAAGTTCTCACTTGCTTAAAAATTTGAAATAACTATAAAATATTTTAGTAGTTACATAGGGTGAAGTATAGTTCACTTTTAATAATCTGTACTAAAAGCATATATATTTTGACAGTTTATTGTATTATGTGTTCATTTTGGAACTTTAATTATTGTTAAAAAAAGTAAATGAATCAATTAAGATAACTCTTTACTTCCATAGGTAGCTTTGATTGAGTGTTAACTATACTTCCAGGTTGAAAAAGCAAAAAAGAAAAGGTAGATCTCTTTTTAATTCATATGGTCGGTCACTCAGACTAGCCCTAATTGTTTTTAGTAAAACTAGCAAATGTTGTACTCTAATGGGTGAGGTATATGGCATCATGTAATTATAAAATATACTGAACAATACACTATGAGCATGGGCAAAGTGTCCTTATATTCCTATGTAAATACCATAAATTGGAGTATCAGACTATCTTTTTCAACTTAATGTTATTAGTATTCCTTTAAAAGAAAACTGTCTGTAACTGTCATACTCCTCTTTGGGACTCAAATACAAATGAGATTATTTGTCAAAAAGCTCTATTGGTTACGCCAGATAATTGTCTGCGTACTCAGAATTTAAACACCCAAAAAAGAATGTACAAAAAGAGGAATCAACGATCACATCTTATGAGAATTAGATCTCAAACTTGAGCGGAACTATGAAGATTTGTCTGAGGGT